TACTGATAGTAATTACAGATATTACAGGCTATAAATTACAGGTGTATCCATGTGTTGAACGTATCATAAACAAATTATTGTTCATTAATAGTAATGTGAAGATAAAAGGGGACTTTAACAGCTACTAACCATAGTGGTAGGTGGTGGCAGGTGTGTGTGTGTGTGTGTGTGTGTGTGTGTGTGTGTGTGTGTGTGTGTGTGTGTGTGTGATAAATATATAAAGAGAGATAGATAGGAAGAGAGAAAGAAAGAGTTTGTAAAAGCAGAGTTAAAGAGAACACACACGCACACACACACACACACGCACACACACACACACACACACACACACACACACACACACACACGCACACACGCACACACACACACACACACGCGCACACACACACACACACACACACACACACACACACACACACACACACACACACACACACACACACACGCACACACACACACACACGCACACACACACGCACACACACGCACACACACACACACACACACACACACACACACACACACACACACACACACACACACATTGCTTCATATAACTCTGTGCTATTTTTCACCGCCTCAGTCATGGTTAAAGAATGTAACATACTGTTTTAATTATTGAGAAGTGTGTGTTAAATTCTGTACTGTGTGGTGGTAACAGCTTGAGGGGGGGAGGGAGGATGGGGGGAGAGAGAGAGAGGGAGGGGGAGAGAGATAGGGAGGTGGAGGATAGAGCGAGAGAGAGGGGGATAGAGAGAGGGGGGGAGGATAGAGAGAAAGAGGGAGGGGAGGGGGGGGAGGTGCTTAAAAACAAGTATTGTGTGTGATCACTTTTACCTGCTGGTGGACTGACTGTTATTGTTTGTTTGTTTGTGTTTGTTTGTTTGTGTATTGCATAAGTTGTTAGTTATTATTGTTTATTTTATTTGGTATTTGTTATTGTTTATGTTGTTTATTTTGTTTGTTATTCTTATTTGTGTGTGTGTTTGTGTTTACTGGTAATTTTAGTACAAACAAACACACACATACATACCTGCTAAATAACGTAGCTACACACCTGTTGTTTATCCCACACGTGCTCCACCTCACACCTAAACTACTACTGACAGAACGTCCTTAACGACGCCAATTAACGATCACACACCTTTTACACACAGCTGATATAAATAAAGATGTAATAGTTTCACATTATAGAAACGTAAAAAATAAAAATAATTAAAAGAAAATAGTTATGTTATTATCTGGAGAAAATATTTATATTCGTTTGTTTACATCAAGTAGCCTCTTTATACGGGTTACAATTATAAGAAATACCATTGGATCTCCTATAACAATGAATAAGAGATTTATATTATGATTCAACTTCAGACATTGTAATCACTGCAGAAGTTCCACCTTGTCTTCTTCTTGTTTTGACGATAGCAGCTGTTCTTTTACAAGCTTACGTGCTCTTTACCGTAACCCTGAATTAATTGTCGTTACCACCGAGGGAGGGAGCCAGGTTAAGTGAGATTGTAAGTGTGAAAAGTTACATAAGTTGTCGTTAAGTTGGAGGTGGTGGGAAGGCGATCAATTAGTAATGTTATATCGTTAGGTCAAGTTAGGTTAGGTTAGGGTTATTGTAGGTAGGTATTGTAGATGGTAGAGAGTTGGTGGTAGTGTTATGGCGAAGGTATGGCTATAAGGGGAGGCTTGAGGCCATTCTAGAAAAAAAAAACATGGTTGTTTCTGTAGGTATCGAAAGAACAATGGATTAAGTAATCTGTAAGTGTACTCGTAGTAAATAAGTATATACAGATTAGGTATAAGTGACTTAATAATGTTTATAAACCGTGAAGTAAATAGCTGTGTGTGTGTGTGTGTGTGTTGGTTAAAAATTAAGATTAGGTTAGGTTGGTTGGTTAGGTTAGGTTGTACTAAGTTATGTTAAATTAGTTTAGGTTGAGTTAGGACTAAGTTAGGCTCATGTTATGTGAGTTAGTGAGTCTCAGTTACTAACATCGGTGTCTGGTGTTTACAGGTTAGGTTAGGGTTAAGTTAGGCTCATGTTATGTGAGTTAGTGAGTCTCAGTTACTAACATCGGTGTCTGGTGTTTACAGGTTAGGTTAGGGATAAGTTAGGCTCATGTTATGTGAGTTAGTGAGTCTCAGTTACTAACATCGGTGTCTGGTGTTTACAGGTTAGGTTAGGGATAAGTTAGGCTCATGTTATGTGAGTTAGTGAGTCTCAGTTACTAACATCGGTGTCTGGTGTTTACAGGTTAGGTTAGGGATAAGTTAGGCTCATGTTATGTGAGTTAGTGAGTCTCAGTTACTAACATCGGTGTCTGGTGTTTACAGGTTAGGTTAGGGATAAGTTAGGCTCATGTTATGTGAGTTAGTGAGTCTCAGTTACTAACATCGGTGTCTGGTGTTTACAGGTTAGGTTAGGGATAAGTTAGGCTCATGTTATGTGAGTTAGTGAGTCTCAGTTACTAACATCGGTGTCTGGTGTTTACAGATGCCGGAAGAAGGACTGGCGGACGGACCTCCCCCAAACATCAGTCATCATCACCTTCCACAATGAGGCTCGGTCCACCCTTCTGCGTACCGTCGTCAGGTGAGTCTTCCTCCTCCTCCTCCTCCTCCTTCGTATTCTTCTCCTCCTCCTTCTTCGTCTTCTTTTCCGCCTCCTCATCCTCCTTCTTCGTCTTTTTCGTCTCCTCCTCCTCCTTCGTCTTCTCCGTCTCCTCACCTTCTTCTTCATCATCATCATCATTCGCCCTCCTCCTCTTTTTCTTCGCCTTCATTATCCTCCTTCTCCTCCTCCTCCTTCATCCTCCTCCTCTTCTTCTTCTCTATCCTCCTCCTCGTCTCCTCCTCTTCCTGGGCTCCTCCTCCTACACACTGGCCTCAATTAACATCAACAAAAGAACATCGTTAGTGTAAGACTGAACGTGATTGGTTAATGGTCTGTGACGTCACCCTCTCGTGGACTCCGGTTAATGGGATTAATTAAAGTTCTGATCAACGAAATAAAAATCTAAACAACGAAATAAGATTCTAAACAACGAAATAAAGTTCTGATTAACGAAATAAAATTCTAAACAACGAAATAAAGTTCTAAACAATGAAATTAACTTCTGATTAGCGAGATAATTAAAGTAATGATCAATACGTGAAAATGCTGATCAAAGAAACAAACTGTTGATCAGCGTAATGAAATGCTGATCAACTAGATGATTGAAGGGTTGATCAACAAGATAAAGAGCTCATCAGTGAGATAAAAATGTTGATCAGCAAGATGGTTAATAGCGAATTGATCAAAAGAATAACGCACACACACACACACACACACACACACACACACACACACACACACACACACACACACACACACTACCTTACCCAAACAAACACTCAAACAAATACACATACAATTCTTCAAACAAAAATACACACACAAACAAAATAAAGATATACATAAAATAAATACATTATTATTACACACATACACACACACCTACACACACATACACACACACCTACACACACATACATCACTCGAGTCTTAAGTTGTATTAGCAAGTTGTAAAGCTGCCAGTCATACATCATATTGGACAATGATCGTTTCCTGTGTGTGTGTGTGACTAAGCCAATACAGTCTGGGTGTTTGTGTGTGAGGGGGAGTGTGTTTGAATGTATGTATGTATGTATGTGTGTGTATATATATATATTTGTTTGTGTATGTAATAGTATTAAACATAAATATGGAGGCTCGTAGAAGTAGTAGTAGTAGTAGCACCTCACTGACCACATAATAGCCCAGAATGCAACAGGGGAAGTGGACACCAGCGAAGTTAATAAGATCCGTAGGTCCATTACAACAGATCGGCAGCACTGCCAAAATGACATGTTGCAGCAACTATTGCTGCTGGTTCCAGAAAATTTAACAAAAAAAGTTGCTATAGCGCAGGAGGTGGGCGCCTCGAACTGGTTAACTACGTTACCGATAAGGGCAAATGGTTTCAGCCTTAACAAACAAGAATTTACAGATGCCATTGCTTTAAGGTACGGTTGGCCAGTAGATGGTTTGCCCTCCCAATGCGTGTGTGGCTCTCCCTATGATGGCGATCACGCCATGGTCTGCAAGAAGGGGGGCTTCATATGCATGAGGCATGACGAGGTAAGGGATCTCACAGCAAATATGTTGAAGGAAATCTGCCGGGACGTCATGGTAGAACTGACCCTCCTTCCACTGGATGGCGAGATCTTCCAACACAGGACTTCAAACACATCTAACGAAGCCCGTGTGGACGTCAGTGCTCGAGGATTCTGGACGCGGGGACAGCGAGCTTTCTTCGACATCAGGATTTTTGATCCCATGGCCGCTTGTCACCGTAACCTAGCTCTCGATGCTGCACATAGGAGGAACGAGAACGACAAGAGAAGGGCATATGGGGAGAGAATTCAAAATGTCGATCAAGGCAGCTTCACTCCGCTAGTGTTCACAACCTCTGGTGGGATGGGCCCAAGTGCAAGATGTTTCTACGCCAGACTCGCGGAGCTGATCTCCGAACAGAAGCAGCAGCCCAGAAGTTATGTTACAGCCTGGATGTGATGTCGACTGTCCTTCTCTCTCCTTCGGTCGGCTTTGCTCTGCCTCAGGGGAACGAGAGCTTCTGCCCCTACTCCGACAACTGCTGCAGATATTGACTATGAGGCTACAGTCACTGAATGCCGCATAGATGTGCGGCTCAACTAATTTAACACAGATAGGATAGCTTCTTATGTATTAGGATATTTAATATTAAGGTAAATAAATGGCGGCGAAGGTGTGGCTATTGGGGGAGGCTGGAGGCCACTTCTAAAAAAAAAAAAAAAGTAGTAGTAGTAGTAGTAGTAGTAGTAGTAGTAGTAGTAGTAGTAGTATCACGTTACGATTTCCTATTAATAATGTTTATGTCTGTAGGTGTCAGGACCCTCGTTTCCATTCAGGGTTATCTGTCCCTGGGAGCCTCACGGTGGGTCCTGGGGCAGGTCCCTAATAATGTCAAGGGCCAGGAGGAGGAGGAGAGAAGGACGAGATGTTACACGGCTGGGACCCGGTAGGGGAGGTTGGGTTAGGTTAGGTTTGGTTCAGGGTTGCTCCTCTCTCTCTCTCTCTCTCTCTCTCTCTCTCTCTCTCTCTCTCTCTCTCTCTCAGAACAGGTCATCACGACATCTGTGTCAGCCATCAACAATCTATTGCGTCACTGCGGTCGTTACGTCATCACAGAGACACACACCCAGACAGACAGATAGACAGACAGACAGACAGACAGACAGACAGACAGGTATAGCTAATAGTTGTTGACAGTAATGGATATTGGAAGTGAAAGTTATCAACTGACAAATGTTGACTTAAGACATTACCTTATCTAAATTATTACGACAGACGGATACTTAGACAGGCAAACAGAGAGACACTCAGCCAAACACCCAGTCGGAAAAACAAACTCTTAAGACAGATAAAACACACACACACACACACACACACACACACACACACACACACACACACACACACACACACACACACACACACACACACACACACACACACACACACACACACACAGATAGAACGAAAAAATAAAAATAAAAGGGTGATAAAATGGAGTTAATGAAACGAGGAGGAAGAGAGAGGAGGGGGGAGGAGGAAGCGGAAGAAAGAGAGAGGAGGAGGAAGAGAGGAGGAGGAGGAAGGAAGAAAGAGAGAGAGAGGAGGAGGGAGAGGGGAGGAGGAAGGGAAAAAAGAGAGAGAGGAGGAGGAAGAGAGGGAGAGGGGAGGATGAGATAGTAGGAATAGAGGTGAAGGGAAAGGGGAGAGAGGAAAAGGGAAAGAGGAGAGGAGGATAGGGGTGAGGGAAGAGAGAGGGTGAGAGGGAACGAGTGAGCTGCTTTACATCAAACACTTGCTTCACCCTGCCCAGAACCTAACCACTGACTAATTCACACACACACTTATACATACATACACACACACATACTTATTTACACGCATTCACATACACACACACACACACACACACACACACACACACACACACACACACACACACCTTAGGGCCTTCCTCTGTCTCCTCTCTCAACTTCCCTCACGTCATCTTCCTCCCTTAGATCTTCCTCAAAACACCTAGAGACCCCACCTCCATCTCCCTCCCTCTTCCCTTCCCCCGATAGTTCTTTCTCAATCTTCCCCTTCCACTGCCGAGAGAGAGAGAGAGAGAGAGAGAGAGAGAGAGAGAGAGTATGCAAAAGAGGGAAATAAACCACGGAGAGATAATGAGAAAGAAAGACAAAGAGAGAAAGAGAGAGAGAGGGGTCCATTAGAACTCTCCTGATCTGCTAATGGGTGCTCACAACGTGGTATAGCTCAAGTGTGTGTGTGTGTGTGTGTGTGTGTGGTATCATTCCTTAGGGGGTGATTATTCCTATACCCTTTGTTAATGGCTAATGGGGTGACTTTGTGCCCATGGGTAGTTATCATTGTTTGTTAATGGGGTTAATTGGGGGTAGTAATAATAGGGGTACCACTTATATTTCTAATGGTAGAGGTCTTAATAGGGGGTGATTAGTGAGGAGAGAAAGTAAGGTGGTTAGGAAGGAGGAAGTAAAGGGTGTTGATGGTAGAGGGGAGGTAAAAAGGAGCGGTTAATGGTAAGAAAATAGGTGGTTGATGGAAGAGGAAAGCAAAGGTTAATGGAAGGAGGAAGTAAGGGTGGTTGATGGTAATGGGAGGGGGAGGTAAAGCAAAGGGTGTAAGGAAGGAGGTAAAGTATGGTTGATGGTAATGGGAGGGGAAGCGGAAGAGGGAGGTAAAGAAGGATGGTTGATGATGGGAGGGGGAGGAAGGGGGATGGTTGATGCTAATGGGAGGGGAGGTAAAGTAAGGGATAATGGAAGGAGAGATAAAGAAGGGCGGTTAATGGTAATGGGAGGGGAGGAAAGGAAGGGATGGTTGATGGTAATGGGAGGGGAGGTAAAGTAAGGGCGGTTAATGGTAATGGGAGGGGAGGTAAAGTAGGATGGTTAATGGGAAGGGAGGTAAAGTAAGGGTGGTTGATGGTAATGGGAGGGGAGGTAAAGGGGGATGTATAACAGAGAACAGACAGACAGTAATGATGGCCACAGCATGAATATTCCAGAAGCAAGCACAGCGGGTCTCCTCCCCACGCCCTCCCATGCATCCCACCCACGCCTACCTACCCCCACTCCCCACGCCTCCTCCCCACGCCTCCACTCCCCACGCCCCCTCCCCACGCCTCCACCTCCACCCTCCCTCCCCACGCCTCCACCCCCACGCCTCCTCCCCTCCCCCCCCCCCCCCACGCCTCCCCACGCCTCCTCACCCACGTTTCCCTACCCCACGCCTCCCCCCACCTCCTGACGCCTCCCTTCACCACGCTTCCCTTACCACGCCTCCCTCCCCACGTCTCTCCTCCCACGCCTACACGCACGCCTCCCACGCCTCCCATCCCACATCTAATCCCTGCCCCCCACACACACCACCTATTTTGTCTTCTTTCTGTTTTCCCTTCCTCCTCCAGAGACGAAGGGAAGGAAGAAGAAGGTGAT